GGGGGGGGGAGCCACGTTTAAATAAAGTATCTGTAATAAATTCTCCTCCTGCTGTGGATTACCTGTGTGATTGCTTTTCAGTTGAAATTCCCCATGCAGCATTAGCAACACTGCTTGTCACAGTCGATGGAAGCGCTCCCATAGCTCTTTTTTACTGTGTCGGGACTGCCTGCAGATATTAAAGCAATATGTGAGGCTGTTTGTCTGACTCCACTGGCTTTGTGTTTTAATGACTCCTGTGTGTGCGTGTGTGTGTTTTTGTGGGGACACTGTAATAAGACATGGTGATAAAGACTTGGTGCAACACTGGTTTGAGCAGAAACACGTACATGGATGGCAACTTTGTGTTGCCATCACACACACGCACGCGCGCACACACACACACACACACACACACACAGAGTGAGAGAGAGAGAGAGCAGTGACCAGTTTAAATTGAATATAGCTGACAGGTTTGATCAGAGTTGATTGATTTGCAGGGCTGCACGCAGCCTCATGGTGAGGGTAAGAGTTGGACACCTTACCGGAACCTCCTCCTCCGTCTCCTCTTTACTCCAACCCCTGCCATCTCTCTCTTTTTTTCTTTTTTTTTTTAACACAACCCTTATTGCAAACCATATCTGACAATAGATATTGAACAGGGAAGCAGGAAGGATCAATGTTTGTTGATTGGTAAGAAAATACAAGGCTGAGGCTGTTTGAAGAGCCTCCAACTTAAATTACTTCAGGATGTTCTTGGAACCAAAGTGTGAGGTTGAACAGATTATATGGAGTCGATTTGCAGGAGCAGATACATTTTTGAGTATAAAATATATAATAAGAGTTTTTATCAAACTTTAATTTTCTCCAGATAGTGATAATATCAATGTACAACTCTGTGTAAGAATAAACAAGGAGATGACTTCTTTCAAGTTCAACTGATGAAAAATTTGTTTTTAAATTATTTTCAGCAGCTGTCTGCTTCTTCAGCACACAGCATCATATCTATGTGAGCATTTACTGCCATCTGCTGATTGTTGCCTAAAGGTGCAGACGTATGAATGCACAGCACTGAATCTGTAGGAGAAGTAATAATAATAAAAATGCTTTTCCATTCTTGACCAAAACTATAAGACAAATGCTATGTTTGAATATAAAGTCCTGAATATTTTTTGTAATATGTGTGTAAAGTTAAGCTTATTGTTGCCTGTGTAATGCATGTCATTCCCATCGTCATGTGCCACCTAGTTGATCATTAACTGCGATGCTACATTTTAAAAGAATTGATCCCATGCATAGTTTAATTGCGAGCTGTAGCACATGGTGCACAGTGCACAGCTCTGGCAGTTAATCTTCAACTCGGTGGTTAAATAAAGACGAGCTCAAAGTACCGAGTCATAGTATTCAGTCACATATTGCATACAGTCTGCAGGCACACTGCTGGAGCAACATGGCTGTGCGGCTCTTTGAGGGGAAAGATCATGCAGCGGCTTACCTGCAGTACAGAGTGGCACCCCAGGAGCTGGTCAGCACAGTTATGAACTTTATGGAGAAAAGGGTATGTGTTTATGCTTATGTGCTTGATAGCATTTGAACAAATCCTGTGTCTCTATCTATTAATGTTCTATTACATTCAGGCAGTTAAATGTACTCTAAAATCACAGCATTTCTCTTAGACACCAAAACCATTCAACTTTGCACTGGATGTAGGCTGTGGATCGGGGCAAGGGACGACCCTTTTGGCTCCATACTTCACCAAAGTGGTTGGAACCGACGTCAGCCCCGTCCAGATAGAGACAGCGCAAGCCAATAAGAACCCTCCAAATGTCTCATACAGGTGAAGGGGAACAAAATGTGGTGGATGTGAAATAAAGGCTGTGATTTAGATAAACCAATGTGTCAAAGGTTCTGTGCTTTCTTCAGCATCTTCATTATGTAATTTTTTCGTTTTTTTGGGGCAGTTCTTTAAGTAAAGGCTACATTACGTCAATCATTCCTTGATTGTTGTAGATGAAGATAGCTTTAGATAAACATGGTTGTAAGTTCTTTGCAAAGAGCTTACCACTTTGGGTAGCATTCTCAAACAAAACCATCATAGAAGATCAAATTCTAGTGTTACAGGGGTCACCGGTGGCCTCATATTATCCATGGGACGTGGCCTTGATCAGAAGCACTTGGACCCGCAATCAGTACCAGGCAAAGTGGTCTTCTATAAGTCCCACACCCACCTGTCAGACAGATATTGACACATATTGATGTTCTTAACTTCAGCAGGTTGTTTCATCCGATTTGAGGTTAGCATCATGAGAAGGTCTTAGGTTTGAATCAAGGCAGGGGTCTTTTCTCCCCTTCACGGTCCAAAGACAAACATGGAGTGAGATTAGTCGATTATTCTAAATTGACCTTAGGTGGGAAAGTAAGCGTGAATGGCTCTTACTCTATGTGTTTGCCTAGCAAGAGATTAGTGACCTGTCCAGGGGGTGTTGACCCTACAACACCTGGGATGGGCTCCACTCCCACTTTCTGACTTGGATGGGCTGCAAATGGATGAGTGGTTTAAAATTTTGAAAGAAAACTCCAGAGAAAAAAGTGGCGACATGTTTGCACTGCCCTTGAGACTTGAGCCCTAAACTAAATTACCAGTATTGAATTACATTATTCCTCTACAAATGGAAGAGAATCCAAATAAGATCATCCACAAAAGCAAGAATATGCTTTGTTATTCAAAGCTTTTCCCTTATTCATCTCTCCCATCTATAATGGGCCCTATTTTTTCCTTGTCCTGACTCTGTTCACCTTAACATCAGGCAGTGTCCAGCAGAAGAGCTACCATTTGCATCTGGAGAGGTGGACCTTTTGAGTGCCATGACAGCAGCTCATTGGTTTGATCACCAGCGGTTCCTCAAGGAGGCTGACAGGGTGCTGAAGCCTGGAGGCTGCCTGGCTCTCCTTAGCTACACCATGGACATGGAGCTTGAGTATGGAGACATCTCCAGCACTCTCAATGACATATGCAAAGAGGTTCATCCCAAATCTAAAAGCTCATGTGCAGAAATAGAGTACTGATGTAGGTTTTCAGCCACTATAAATGAATGCTTTCCCCAAAAAGCTTTAAAGTTTGTCTTTGCTTTCTTTCTTTGTCCCACCAGTTTTATGGTGCCCTGCTTCCATTCCGAGATCCCTACATTGGAAAATCCTCTAAGAAGATCTACCTAGACATGTTCAACTCCTGCTCTTACCCAGACAAAGAGTGGTGAGTTCTCAGAAGCTTTGCCAGAAGTTGACTTCAGTTACATTGACCAGAACATACTTATTTATGAGTCCAAATGTGTCCAGGAACGAGTGCCTGCAGACGAAAAGAACCCTGCCATTGAGTCAATATATTGGCATGGTGGAGACCTTCTCCAGCTACCAGAAACTGAAGAATAAGGACCCCGCTGAGGCCAAACATCTCTCTGACCATATCAGGAACAAGTGAGACATTGAACTTCACCAGTCTAATCGTTAACTCCTGGCCTTGAACCCTCACCTCCCTTCACCTGGCGCTGACCATTGATTCCTGTAATCTTCCCAGCTTAATTTATTTCTGATTATCAAACCTGCCAGAATACAGCTTTGAATACTGGCACAGTCTGGGGCATTAATCAGAAAAGCCAAACATTGCTTGACTAAGCTTAACTGTTGAAGGCTTTTACTGCTTTGATAATATAGCCCCCATTAATTCCCCCGCCAGTGACAGGAGAGAATAGCTCAGCAAGCACAATATATGGAGGAGAATTGCTGAGCCATAACTTTTACATGGATATAAGTATGACATTGTATTTAATTACTGTTAAAGTTTGGGAAGATTTAAACAGTTTCACTTTGTTCTGTCTCTTTAAAGAGTTTCACCTGCATGTTTGCCTAATTTAATGAAGGATAGAGCCTCTGGAGGTTGCTGTTAATTTACAACTTCACATAATCTGTCATCCAATAGTTCCTCTAAATCATAATGAACCATTCTGTCTCTCTGTCTTTTATCCCAGGTTGATGTCTGCAATGAAGGTGTCCTCTCCTAAGACAGAAGTCACGATGATTATGCATTATTTCTACTGGCTGGCTTGCAAACCTTGATCACTCAGAATGCATGAATCCTGTTTAGGATTGCTTTCCAAGGTTTTTTAGCTCGTCACCACTTAAAACAAACAACTGCCTTGTTAGACCCTGATTTTTATTAAAGATTTTAACTCTAACAGAGTGCATTAGCAATTTTTTTTGTTATTTTTTAATTGTTTAGACCTACTGATGAGCGCCGTGTTGTACAAGCCTCACAGCGCTTCCTTTTTTTTTTAATCTCTTTCTGAAAATGCAAATCAGAATTTTCTATTAATATTAACTCGAATCTGAATGAAATGAAGCTGCTCTCAAGTTAATTTTAGACTACTGACTATCAACTGCCTTATAGAAAATCTGAGAGTGAACAGTAGATGGAGCCATTTTGTTGTAATGAAGTCCATGAAAATCTCGTGTGCAATCTTAAAATCTTGAGTTTGACAAGTATTGAGTGCACTTTTGTTTCTTTTTGTAATAAGTGAACTGCAGTAAAAAAAAATGTTTCTTTAAGTGATGTGAAACCTCTGTGTACTGTAATGATATGAAATGTGAAGTTTATGAATATGTAAGTACCCCAGCCTCTATTTTCAAATTACAAGTTATTGAAGTATAAAATGATAGATAGATAGATAGATAGATAGATAGATAGATAGATAGATAGATAGATAGATAGATAGATAGATAGATAGATAGATAGATTAGTTGAAATATCGTTAGTGGTTTGGTTTGGTTTAAAAAAAATATTACAACTTGCCTAATGAGTCACTGACAGACATAGATGTCTACAATACTATGATGCACTATGAGTCAACTGTTCTCTAGACAGTTGACTCATAGTGTGTTTTATTGTAATACCTGTTCCTAAATCATGCCTCTGGCACATGCCCTCCATGAACTTATAATGAAAAAAGACAAAAACAATAATTAAAAATAAACTAAACATTCTCAAACACTGAAATGAGAAAATTCACTTTGGAAACTAAATGAAATTACAGCAAATTTTAAAAAAAAAACAACAACCTCAAAACAAAAATAACCAATTAGAAAATAGAAAACCATAACAACTCTGCACCACATGTTTTCAGTGACTGAGCAGCTTATTTGTCTAATAAACTAGTTGTATCTGCTACTTTGTGGAAGTAGGAAGGGGAAGAGAATAATAACTTGTTAACAATAACTTTATTTGTAAAGCACTTTTCAAAACACAGAGTTAAAAAGTGCTGCATAGTTTGAAGCCACACATTGGACATAAACATAAATATCCTCATTTTATTATATCGTTATTTTATAATTTTTGCAAACAGTGGCCAACACTGCGCTCACGTGACAGATATTAAAGAGTCTGGAGATGTTTTGTGTTACTGCAAAATCATCTGTGAAGACTAGAGGGCAGCAGTTGTAGACGTGTCAGGTGCTTCTGCTCCTACTCGCACAAAAAGTCATGCTAGCAGCAGTCACAAGAACACTAACAAAAAGCAAAACTGTAGAGATACGGAGAGAGCAATGCCCTGAGGTCTTGTTGTTGCCTCTCTGATGCAGTTTTTGTCACTAATTTGTGTTATGATAACTAAGTGCCTGCTTCATTGTAAATGTTGCCTCAAAAATGATTAATAAATATACCGTGTAATTTATTCAAAGGTAAACAAATATAGAGGGACTATAAAACTGTAACATTGTTTATTTTGGCTGTTAAAATTATTTCATACAGTTTCCTCTCTTCATCCTACATTTGTTTTCTAATTCCCGCTCTCCTTTTCATCTCTTCACCCTCCTCCGAATGGCTCCAATCACGTCAGTCTCTTCTACTGTCAGGTGTTATTTATGCAGATTGTTTGTAAGGGCCGCGATGTCAGATGGTAATTAACATAAATGGCTTTAAAAGTCCACTGAATCCAATCTGACCCACTGGAAGGTTTTAGAAAATGTGAAGTAGAGGACACATTTTGAACTTTTAGCTGTATTGTCATAAGTTTTGCAGCTTTTCCTGTTGCTAAAAACTCAACCCACATTGCTGTTCATGCGACACCAAGGTAACTATGTAACTAATAAACAATTAAATAGAGAAGTTCCTGTTTTTCCAATATCAGTTATAGAAATTTCTGCTATAATAGTGTCTTTTTTTAGATTACAATATCTCAGGATTCAGATGTTTAGTTCTGCCCACTTAAGATCAAAGTGGACTGCATGTGGCCTGCTATGTAAAAAAGTGTTTTGTGTCCCTGACGTAGGCGTTTTCATAGAGGTGAACTTAGCCACCAGAAGTGACTGGACAGACAGTTTTAATACCAAATACAGAATTTATTTCTATTAACATCTTTCACAACATGCAATTGTTTCACTGCAGCTTCCAAATAGTCAATATGCTCAATATCAACACGGGAATATGAAATGAAAATTAAAAGAGCATGCTTTATGCTTAAGAAATGTCTTCCGGAACGCTCTACAAGCCCAAACCTAACACTCTGACGATCCCTATAGCATTCCCTGTGTGCGTTTGCTCCTCCACACCACTACAGCAGTCATGAGCAGGGTGACCAGTACAGGCACTGTGATAAATGGGGCGAGGATGCTAATCGGTGGGTCATGCAGGAGCCGACCAGTCAGAGCGCAGTCATGAAAGTAGATCTGATGAATCTCCATGAAGAAACGGTCGACTATCTGATTTGGCCAGAAGCAGTTTATCCTCAAGGCCACCTGGTATGTGCAGTTTGTGAGTCCCTCATAGATCCTGCAGAGGACGGCAGAGCACAGGCAGATTCATGCTGAACTTAGTATGTGTAATTAAAGAAAAGATGTTACTAAAGTTGATCCTTTTTCTGAATGTTTGGTGAAACATTTTAAAGTAATCAAGCTGAAAACCCAAATTGTTACAGAAATATCGGCTGGAATCTTGTAATGTCTTTGAAACGTCCTTTCAGAGAGGGAATAGAGCAGGGTATTCCTGTTGGTGGGGAGAAAAAAAGGCAAAAGAGTGTCTAGAATTACCAGTGGGCTTAACACTGCTAAATATAACTGCTAAGTAGTGAGGAGCAGAGGAAATGGAGATGCATACCAACAGGGTACTGCCCTTAGTACAGCATTGCACCATACCAGGAGAGATTCTGTTCCAGACGGCCACTGTGCCTAACTGTGTTTCTGAAAGTGAAGTGATCACAAAATCCAACCCTTTAACCCTCTGAGGTGTGAGCCTAAGCCTGCCGTACCGTACAGAAAGGCAAAAACGGGCAAAACTTGATCTTCTTGTTTACGGTTAGTTAGGTTTAGGTTTGGGGTCAGCACCAACGACGACTTCGACAATGGCCATCCTGAGATGGTTTAATGAAGCAGCTGTGGCTCAGTAGGTACAGCAGGTGATCTCTTAACTGGAGGGTTGGTGGTTGGATCCCTAGCTGCTCCAACCTGTTTGTGAACTGTTGTTTTACTTCCTTAATTTGCCTTTTCTCCCCCTTTGTGACTGTCGTCCCTGGGTCACTGATTTCCCCTATATCTCGTTAGTTCCTTGTGTATTTATAGCGTTGCATTACCTTTGTCATTTATCAGTCCATGTGTTTGGCTTCTCCCTCATCACCAAAAGGTTTTCTTGTGCCTCAGCAGCTACGTTTACATGTACCTTGTATTACGATTCTAATAAGGTCCAGTGCTGAAACTTTCAGAGACAGAAGCACAAATGTTTTCATAAATAATAAACAACTCAGGGTTTAGTATCTCGCTCAAGGATACTTGGACATGTAGGTTGGAAAAGCCAGGGACCATGACCCGCTCATGCCCCTTGCTGTGGAGCAGTTGTGGTTTAAAAGGTAGAGCAGGTCGTCCACCAATTGAAAATTGGGTGATATGATCCCCAGATAATCGAAGTATTCTTGGGTGAGATACTAAACTCTGAGTTCCTTCCGATGCTTCTATCGAAGTGTAAGTGTGTGCATGACCATTGGCGCTGAACAAGTGATGGATATCTGACAACAGGAAGATATGATCAGACTGGTGCCAGAAGTAAAATAGCCACTGAAGGAGATGAAAGCGCTTCATCACTTTATCAGGTCTCATGCTGTTACAATTCGGTGGCTGCGCATCAGTGCAGATAATCAACTGACCCAAAGTCTTCATTCCGAATTATTTTAATTGGAGCAAAGGAAATGAACGTCAAAATGCTAAACTTTCGGCTTCAAAACATCGGTCCATAAACCAGACGATGACAACTGTCTTATATTCAGTACATGACTGAAGTGGAGTCCACGTCATACCTAATTAAGGAAAGCTATAACAGCAGTAAAAAGACTGATTGTACCGAAATGAGCAATGGTACATGTCTGGTCTTTGAATTCATGTTTTACTTGTCATTATTACTATACAGCCTGAATCCACAAATATTTTTTCAATACTTGTAATTTTCTCTGTACCGGCTTTTTTCCTGTGAGCCTGAACAGTGGCGTCAAACGTTGTTGCTAGGAGTTTGGTGATGCAACTGCCAGCCCCTCCAACTGCCTGTGCAAATTCTTTATGAGTTACAACTGAGCACACATACCCATGGACACACACACACAGACACACACACACACACACACACACACACACACACACACACACACACACACACACACACACACAGAGCACCACCCCCAGTTATGTGCTGGACCAAGTGAGGACTGTGAACCAGGAGGGAAATCACACAGTTTTGACAGCAGCTTCTTCTTTGCGTCCCCCGGCTCCCTTCATCCTCCTGTCTGACTCACTCCCTGACTGTCAGGGTTTGGAAACGAAGCCACCAAGTACTGAGACGATATAATGGCCAACAAATACAGTAAAGCTTTCCCCTGGTGTTGGTGCATGAGAGAGTAAACAGATAAACAGATAGATAAACAAGTTTTTTGCCTCTAATAAGCTCAGAAATACCAGTCTGTCAGTGTACCTGCTAAGATATTAGTACTCACTTAGAGGTGAATGATACAAACACGAGGCCTTAATGTTGGCATATTAAAGACTTACATAGTCTGGGTGTGAATCCAGAACACTGCCATCAGCTGCTTCTTATAGCTGTTTAACTGCGAAATGACTGAGATATCAAAAATCCTCATGCACATGACAGCATGAGGACTTCAGCTTTTCTCACTATCATTCTTCTGTTACCCTGATGCCAACCCACTTTACTCTCTTCCAAAGAGCCAGACTTTCTTGTGATTTTTTTAAAGTGTTCTTGAGCAACAGTTCTCCAGGCTTTCTGAAGGTCTTTCAAAAGTTTTTCTTTGTACAATGGCTGCTTTTCACTCATTTCAGTCCAGTTCCTGGGAGCCATCCAATCACTGAGGATGTAAGAGTGGACAACAGAAGACGTAGCAGGCCTAAAAACTATTTATAGCACACAAACAATATTTAAAATGCATGCCCTTAAGAAGTGTCAGGTCTTTAAAAGATACATGTGTGCCTTCAGCTCATTTATCTACTGTTCACTGAAGCCTCATCAAAAATGGTCTAAGTGGAAGGGTGGCTTCAGTGACAACAGGTCTGATGGAGTGATGAATCCACATATGACACTCCAGCCAGTGGTGTTTGGGATCTTGTAAGAATTTTTGGAGTTATGAACGCACAAAAGTACCATCAGGTACCACCATGTAATA